GGAGGGTGGGTGAGGAGATGTACTCAAAAACACTAGGGACTATATAATAATTTAAACAACCAAAGGGCACATTATGTAAGCCTGCCTCCTGGCCACCAGTACTCAGTCCCTCCCTTTCCAGTCTAGAGTCCTCAGCTGCTCCCTCTCTTCATGTCCTCATCTCTGCCTCCATCTCTGGTGTTGCTGCTTCTCTGGATAGGGTCCTGTATTCCTCCTGTGCTTTTCTTCCTTGATGGTCCTAGGGTCCTCTGTTCCTGGACTGTAAGATTAACTACTCCCCTGTGTTTGTTATAAAACTTCTATCTTTATAGTGGTGACAGTCACTATTAGTCATGATAACAATTACTCACTATTAAATTAAAGAATCTTATCCCCATCTCTTTTCACCAGCCTGTCTAGAGAAGATGAAAACTAATTAGTGGGAAGTCTATCTTTCCCTGCACACTCTTAAACTAAACTCTTGTAAGCCAGTCACTTCATGCCTTTATCGCCCCCTCATTTTAGGTAGCCAATGTCTAAGTTACCCGTCGCTATCTACATTGTATAAAGAAGAGATAGGATTGATAGTTGATATGAAGACTCCTTTCCTGTCTGTTGATATTTTGAGCTACTACCTCCAAGAATCAAGTTCATCGAATTGTAGCAATTTACCCTCGTTTCCATTATCAAAATTGTTTTTGATTTTGGTTTTTGTAATCTTCCTCTAATTGAGTTCTGATTATCAAGCCATCGAGGTAGGTCAAATGGATACTATCTGCAAGTTTGGGTGGAGAACAGGTTTTTATTCTAAAACGAGTCTTATTTTATAATGGTTCAAAATTCACACTATGGGCAACATTGCAGAGAACAAGAATTCCAGAACATTTTAAATGTCTCATGTAGAACCAAGAGGCAGTCGTACGAACAGAACAAGGGGATACTGACTGGTTTAAAATGAAGGAAAGTGTGCACCAAGAGGCAGTCGTACGAACAGAACAAGGGGATACTGACTGGTTTAAAATGAAGGAAAGTGTGCACCACGGTTGTATTCCTTTCACTATACTTATTCAGTCTGTACGATGAGCAAATAATCCAAGAAACTGGAGTGCATGAAGAAAGGCACAACATCAGGATTGAAGGAAGGTTCCTTGCTGTTGTTAAGTGTTGTGGAGTTGACTAGGGTTTCTAAGGCTTTAAATCTTTGAGGGAGCAGAAAACCTCATCTTTCTCCCGCATAATGGTTGGTGGGCTAGAACCCCAGACTGTGTGGTTTGCAGTCCAGTGCTTATGCAGATAATAAAACCTTGCTTACTGAAAAAGAAGACTTGAAACACATATTGATATATTAAATACAGGATTCAGTATGGATTACAACTCAATGTAAAGAAAACAAAAATCCTCACAACTGAATAAACAACATCCTGATAAAAGGAGAAGACTGCCTTTCGACAGGAACCCCCATCTTCCAGTAATCCACCAAAACAACTAACACAAAGGGAAAGAGGTGGAACACCTGCTGTATGTTCTCCAGGCCTTTTAGAAATCCTGGGGTTGCCCTCCTTTGGCCACATACATGCGAATCTACACGAAAGGCGATATTGTGGACATCAAGGGAATGGGCACAGTTCAAAGAGGGACACCCCACAAATATTACCAAGGCAAAACTGGAAGAGTCTATACTGTGACCCAACATGCTGTTGGCATTGTTAACAAGTAAGTGAAGAGCAAGATTCTTGAAAATTAATGTGCACACTGAGCGTATTAAGCCCTCTAAGCGCCGAGATCGCTTCCTGAAGCTAGTGGAGGAAAATGATCAGAAAAAGGAGGAGGCCAAAGAGAAAGGTATCTGGGCTAAACTAATGCGCCAGCCTGCTCCCCACAGACAGGCACACTTTGTGAGACCCCATGGAAAGGAGCCAGAGCTGCTAGAACCTATTCTATATGAATTCATGGCATAACAGGAGACAAATAAAGATGTTTGATGGGACACTCCTACATTGCCAGTGGGATTGTAAAATGGTCCAAGCACTCTGGAAAGCTATATGGCGCTTCCTCAGAAGGTTAGAAATAAGAAATTCCTTATGAT